AGGGGGGTGGACTGACAATTCTTGGGGGGCAGGGGGTGGGGGGGGTGCGGGAAGAGACCAGAAAATAATCGTACACCTATGGATGAGGACAGTGGTGGGGGGGTAAAGGCAGAGGGTGGGGTGGGAACTGGGTGGAGGGGAGCGATAGGGGGGAAAAAGAGGAACCAATGTAATAATCTGAACAATTAAGATTTAATTTAAAAAAATATTGTAATAACTATGTATGGTGTCAAATGGATATATTTATTGAGATCACTTAATAAGTTATGTAATGTCTAATTACTGGGATGTACATCTGAAACTAATATAATGTATGCCAATTGTAATTGAAAAATAAAATAATACAGTATACAGATGACGTATTATAGAATGCACACCTTAAACCTACATAATTTTATTAACCGATGTAACCCCAATAAAGTCTACTTATTTCTTAGTGATTTTTAAAATTTTTTTATTGACTTCAGAGAGAGAAAGAAAGGAGAGAGAAAGAATCATCAATGATGAGAGAGAATCATCGACCAGCTGTCTACTACATGCTTTCTACTGAGGATCAAGCCCGCAACCTGGGCATGTGCTCTGACAGGGAATCGATTCTCTTGATTCATAGGTCAATGCTCAACCACTGAGCCACACCCAATAAATTCAATTTAAAAAAGGAAAAGAATGCCAAAACCGGTTTGGCTCAGTGGATAGAGCGTCGGCCTGCGGACTGAAGGGTCACAGGTTCGATTCCGGTCAAAGGCATGTGCCTGGGTTGCGGGCACATCCCCAGTGGGAGGTGTGCAGGAGGCAGCGGATCGATGTTTCTCTCTCATCGATGTTTCTAGCTCTCTATCTCTCTCCCTTCCTCTCTGTAAAAAATCAATAAAATATATTTTTTTTAAAAAAGGAAAAGAAAAATGAATTAAAAAATAAAAGATGATGCTTGGCCAGTGTGGCTTACTTGGTTGGGTGTCATCCCATGCACCTAAAGGTTGCTGGTTTGATTCCTGGTCAGGGCACATTCCTGGGTTGTGGGCTCAATCCCCAATAGGGGGCATGCAGTAGGCAGTCAATGGATGTTTTGCTCTCACATTGATGTTTCT